GAGAGGAGAGAGAGAGAGAGAGAATTTTTAATATTTATTTTTTAGTTCTCGGTGGACACAACATCTTTGTTGGTATGTGGTGCTGAGGATCGAACCTGGGCCGCACGCATGCCAGGCGAGCACGCTTACCGCTTGAGCCACATCCCCAGCCCCAATCCTGGAGTTCTTGAGTAGCTGTACTGCAACAGAGCTCAGGAGCGCTTCGTTTTTTAAAAAAATATCTAAATAACCTCTCTCCCTGCCAGTTTTAACTTTATTATTCAACCTGAAAGTATCAAGCTGTTAAATTTTATCTGAGTAGAATGAACCCTGAAGCCTYTTCTGAAGCAATGTAGGTCTCTGCTGCTGATGGGGCACACCTGTGTTCCAATCCACAAGAGGTGGGACCCACAAACACGAGTGTGCAGTCCACCTTTGCTCTCTGACGACAGCACGGGGGCAGACGAGCTCAGCAGGCCTGCCCTGCCTCCTGGAGCCCCCAAATGTCATCTTTTCCTCATTTCCTTTCATGGTCAGGCTCAGAAAACCAGAGCCTGAAAGGATCAGGATGACACTTATAAAATTGACATTTTTCTTCTGAAAAAAAGGAAGRTTAGAGAATAAACCACATGACACTAAGCCTGAGCTGGGAAGGAGGGGTAATGGTATAAAAGCACTTACATAGGAGGAGTGTTCGACTTTGCTATTAACTCGTCCTTGAGCCTAATGAGCTCCCTCAGTTTAGGGTATTCTTCAAATCTGTCAGCTAAACCTGAGGAGAAAAAACAGTGAACCAAATTTCACTTCAACTGAACTCAAAGGCTGAGTGCTCTGGGGCAGAACAACACCTGCACCGCACCACTAACTCTCACGCCTTGCTTTTCCAGGCCACCCCCTAAGGAATTATATTCATGACAATATGAATTATGTCAATCTCTTAGTTTAAACACCAAAAGGTTTTGTTATCAAGAGTAAACATGAAAACTTTCGTAAAAGCTTCCTTGGTTGATTGCATACATCACATTCCAAAGAAAACAAGTGTGAAAATCTTATCACCATCAGGTTTCCACAGTCAGCTCTCAACCCTCTATAAAACAGAAGGCACAACCTAAAACCATCCTAACCGTAACCTCTTCTGTGGCCYGAGGAACACGCGTGGTACCCTGCTTGCAACCTGGGAGTGTTGTYGGCTCTTCAGATGTTGCACAAATCAGATATATTTTCCAAGTACTCTCTTCTCAACTTCTTTCATCATGTTATCTTTGTTCCCATCATACAAGGAGTTTCACTCTCGGATTTTGAAATCCAACTTCTACTTGATTCAAAATACATTCATACAACTTTTTCTCAACCTACAAGTTTTCCTTGCCTTGGATAATTGTGCAAATGTCTTAAGAAGGGTTTATATCCAAATATGGGTATAACATTTATCATAACTGGAGCTGTGATATAGTTCAGTGGCAGAGCACTTGCCTAGCACATACAAGGCCCTGGGTTCAACTCCCAGCAGCACACACACACACACACACACAAAGAAGAAAAAAAAAAATACAACTCTTTATACTGTATCAAAATTTTGCTTATAAAAAAATTAATTAGTTTTCACTTTGGAAATAAAAATTTATTTTATGACAAAAAATAAATTGGATTACACCAAAATTAAAACTTCTGTGTCACAAAAGATACTATCAAGAAAATGACAAGACAACTAACAGAATGGGAGAAAAATATATATATATATTTTTTTTTTCCTTTCTTTCTTTTTTGTGGCCTTTGGCAATGAGTTCTCCCCCAAATTCAAGGACATAACACCAATCTATCCAAATTTACACATTTACCCTGGATGCCAAAGAATTTATATTCCCATCTGAACATGGAGGTGTTCATGGCTACTAAACTCTAAATTTTGCCAAATACATGGATGAAAAATGTTATAGCCTTGTTTTTGTTTGCCTCTTGATGACTAATGATGTTAAACATCTTTTGATGTTCATTAGCCATTTTCACTTTATCCATTCATATTTTGCTCACAAACTTTTAAACTTTATTTTGCTTTATAAAATTTTTATGTTCTTATATTGATACACTTTATGTTTGCAGTCTTCATTTTTGGTACTGGGGATTGAACCCAGGGATGCTTAACAACTGAGCCACATCTCCAGCCCTTTTCATTTTTTATTTTTTTATTTTGAGGTAGGATCTCAATAAAATCGCTTAGTGCCTCGCCAAGTTGCTGAGACTGGCTTTGAACTCGTGATCCTCCTGCCTCAGCCTCCTGAGCTACTGGGATTATAGGTGTGTGCCACTTCTCCCAGCTTTCAGTTTTTTAGTAGAATATTAAATTTGTATTTATTCTCTTAATAACTACTGTTTTTCTTAAAGAATGCTTTCATTTCTTCAACAAAGTAAATATATTCTAATAATTTCACATTGTAGTATTTTTAGCCCTCTGATTCATTTGCATTTGTTAATATTGTAGGGAGCTAAATTGGTATTTACTCCCCAAATGTTACCAACTGTCTTAAATCATTTTTTTAAATTTGAGAAAATAAATTTTTTATAGCAGTAAAACAAATTTTGGACTAAAGATTTACTGAGAAATGTCTAAACAGATATTTCTCCAAAGAAGATATTGAAATAGTAAATATGCCTATGAAAATACTAAACATTATCAGTTACTAGGAAAATGCAAATCAAAATCACAAGGGCATACCACTCAACACCCACTAAGACAGCTGTGATCAAAATCTCAGACAAGTGTCCAGATATGAAGAGCCWGAGACCTTTCCACGCTGAYGGTGGGAATGTAAAATGGTGGAGCCATCATGAAAAACACTGGAGTGGGTCCTCAAGAAGTGAAATACAGAATTACCACAATTCTTAAGAAAAAGAATTATAAGATCCAGCAATTCTATTCCTTGGTATATACCAAAGAAAAACAAAAACATACATCCACATAAAAACTTTTATATAACTATTCATAACAGCATTCGGCCTAATAGACCAAAGTACAAAACGAAACGAATGGATAAACAAAATATGGTGTGTGTGTACACACACACACACACACACACACACACACACTTACTCACACACAAAGGGAATATTATTTGGTACTAAAAACAAATGATGGACTGATATATGCTAGGACATTAATGGCCCTTGGAAATATGTTAAGTAAAAGAAGCCAGTAACAAGAGACTACCTACTATATGATCCCAATTATATGAACGGTCCTGAAAWGGCAAAGTTATACAGAAAGAAAGTAAATTAATGGTCATGTAAGCCTGGGGGTAGATGAGAGAAGTGTGGACTATCTACTAATGTACAGTACAGGGCTTCCTTCCTCAGGGGAGATGAAGATGTTGTGAATTAGACTGATAATAGTTGACAACTTGCTATGAACATACTAAACACTGAATTATACCCCTAAAGTGTGGGTGAACTATATTGTATAGAAATTATACCCAAAAAGTAATCTTGCTGATGAAAAAGAAAGGTGTACTGAAAGCACTCAGAACAGAAAAAGTCAAGCTGAAAAAAATGATTTTTTTTTTTTTACAAATCATCTACAAAACTGAAAAACATGCATATAATCTAGCAATAGCATAATCCAAATAAATCTGACATACCTACATCCCTGATGAAATTCTGAGGTCTATGTCCAGTGTCTACAAAATGCTGGCAGTAATCATTATGGGGATTTAAGCTCTGTGTTCCCTAAAGARAAAGTCAAAGTTAACAACATGCACTCTGATTTGGATACAATAACTTCATACTGTGTCTTTTCTTAGAAAGCCAAATAAAATATGATTTTAAAAGTTGTGTATTTGATAATACCACTAAAATGACAGCATGACTTTTCATCAACTACTGGTGTGAATATACCATTGTCTCATCTGAAATAGCCAAATATAAGAATATTTCATAAATAATTTAAATATTATTTTATATAATATTTTATAATAATGATTATAAGATATTTTATAATAATGATCCCTCAATTTTCCCTGAAGAAAAATAGGTACTTAAAATCCTGAAGAAAATTAAGTACTTAAAATCTTTTCCAGCATGGCTAGACATGCACATGCCCGTGAACCCAGCAATTTAAGGATACCAAGTTCAAGTACTTAAGGAGACCATGTCTCAGAACAAAGAACAAAAAGGGTTGTGGGGTTAGCCCAGTGGTAAAGAGCCCCAGAGTTTGATCCCAGTATGATTTAAAAAAAAAAAAAGGTGGGGGGGAATCTTTGAGGCACAGAGCTTAAATGTGAAGTTACAAGATTTGTAAATTACTTGTTTTATTTACCTTAAGAAAGGTACTAGAATCTTTATAAATCTCTTCTTCATATGGCAAATTTTCTTCTTCCTGTTGCATTTCTAGTTCATCCTTGAAAAATGAAGATTAAAGAAACATATATACATAGGCTACTTTTTCAATTATCATAATATTTCATATTGGCATTAAAGTGAAACATTTAAGTCTTTGCTTTTTCATCACTAGATCTAACTAGTAAATAAGTCTGAGAGATGGTGGATGTGGTAATTATCTTGACCTAACCTTTTTACAAGACACAATTAAAAATAAAGGAAAAAATCTTTTAAAAATAACTAGTTGATWATTTTTATAATAAAACAAAATGTCCTTATCATTATCACGAATAATAATTACCTATAACTACTAGTGTTTGGTTGACTGAATTGTCTAGAATTATTTATCTCTATAATTTACTGTAATGTTAGCATTTAGCTTGAATCATGAAATTTTGTTTTTATTAGATTGAACCATATGAAACTGCACATTTTATAGGTCAAAAATGTTAGAATATCAGAAATTGACATGACTCAACCTAATATAATCACAAATATTTAAGTTACATATAAGCACATATCAAAGTATAAAACAAAAGACCGTATTCATGAGAGCAGGAATTATATCATCATAGAGATTTACTGAAACTATGATTATTTTGAAAAGAAAAAAAAAGAACATAAGCTTTTCTTCCATAATACTTTCTTTTTAACTAAATAATGCAATTACAAGTATAGAAGTTGGGTTTTTCTTCGGTTGATTTCAGAAATGGTTCTATACTGCTCTCTAGCCCACGAGTTCTCAGAATATTCTAATTATCCTACCTAGCCTACATTGTTACACAAAATAATGTAACTCAAAAAGGACTGCTGCAACTGGGCCCACGCCTATAATCCCAGTGGCTTGAGAGATGGAGGCAGGAGGATAGTGGCTTCAAAGCCAGCCTCAGCAATTTATTCAGGCACTAAGCAACTCAGTAAGACCCTGCCTCTAATAAAAYACAAAATAGGGCTAGGGGTGTGGCTCAGTGGTTGAGTGCCCCTGAGTTCAATCCCAAGTACCCCCCACCCCAAAGACTGCTAYAGTCTCTTGGAATTCCAAACAACAAAAGTGCACACCAGAAGGTGCACATCTCTCTTTCCTCTTAATACAAACATCACGGCCAGTGTGTGGTAAGCACAACCCTTACGTTAAAATAAGGGAATGTTCATAAAGGTCATAATCTAACCGATGGTCTCTGCTACTGACAACTATTTTAACACACCTTAGAACTCAGCTTTCTATCACATTTGTTTTCTTGGATGTCAACTTATTATAAGAATTTATTTTTTCTAGACTATAAAAATCACCCCATTCTCCACTTGCCTTATATTCTTCTACTTTATCTTCATCTGTCTCTCCTTCATCCAGACACTTACGCTTTGCATTTGGAGCAGAGGTGTCATAGGAAGCCCTGAAAATTAGAACAAAGAATCACACACAAATACACAGAAGATGCATACATGTGTCTACTGGAAATATTAAATAGCTTGTATAGGCAAAACTTTCCTGGTGAAACAGTATCTCTTTACCCAGTTTATAAATCATCCAAGAAACTGATGCAATGACAATTCTGTACTTTATGAGAAAGGAACCAAATAAGAAAATAAACTCTTATAAACTAGAATACTTAAAAAATTCTGAAATGCTTTCTAAACCATCAGTGTATACATTTTGAGGGCCAAGTATATTTTTTATAAATGTATAAAAATTATAATTGAAAATATATTAGATATATAAGGCAATTCTAGTCTAACATTCCATTTTCTAACTACTTATAAATGGGCACTTAATATAGTCAAAAATAAATATCTTTTAAGTCATGAACTGACAATATAAACCAATGTTTCTAAAGAACTTTATTTTGATATTTTTCATAACACATTCAGACCTAGGGTTGTTTATTAAAACAAAGATCCTAGTACAATAGTAACATGTTATTAGAAAAGATTATCTGGCTGACCTGCAAGTCTCCCTCGTTTCTGCAATTTCTCTCTGCTCATCTTTGCTGTTCAACACAGCACCAATGCTGTCGGCGCTCTCAGCTCCCAACTAAGGAATGGCAAAAAACAAGTCAAATCACAATTCACTGGACAGCGCTTCCTGGCATTTGTAGCAGAATGTAATGTATCAAACATTTAAAAAACAAATGAGTGAAAAAAAAAAACACAACTCACACTTCAAAGAATTGGATTAGCTGACAAGACAAACTGGGAATACTCTATAACAAAACCATGTTAGTTAAGATTGATCTGGCAGCTAGAAAAGTTTTTTATTAGGCTTTCAGTTATATTGGAAATTGAGGCACAACTTTAGCCAACCTCCTGCTTTGAAAGTACATAAAAGTGTAGTAGTAGTAGTAGTAGTAGGAATAACCAGAAAGAGTAGTTAATGTAGATTTTATATAAGATATTTTCTATGAATCAGTTCATATATTGTACCTATTTATTCTATTATCTAACAAAAATCCACCCAGTTTTATTTAGGCTTTTTGATTATASGCACAATAGTGAATTTTACTAGTACCTTAAACATGGTTATGTTGATTTTGGTAGGCAACTGGGAAAACTGTGCAATTAAATGTGGCAACAAATGTAAACACAGGCTGGACAAGTCAAACAGGCCCAATTCACATAAACTGAAAGCCAAACCAAGAAGCGAGAATGCCAGGTGTAGCCACTTACACATTTTCACACAAGAAGAGCATGAGAAAATCTGCACTAAATAGTCCCTTGAGAGGAGGCTTATCAGAGCAGCAAGTTACTAGCCTTTAAACAGCCACCCACTCTCCTTCTAGTCCACCCACTTCACATGGTGCCCCTCAAGATTCGCCAATGATAAATCTCTTCCAGGATGGGCATGATGGTGCACACCTATAATCCCAGCGGCTTGGGAGGCTGAGAGACAGGAGGATCGTGAGTTCAAAACCAGCTTTAGCAAAATCGAGGCACTAAGCAACTCAGCAAGACCCTGTCTCTAAATAAAACACAAAATAGGGCTAGGGATGAGGCTCAGTGCTCGAGTGTCCCTAAGTTCAATCCCTAGTACCAAAATCATCAGCATCAGCAGCATCATCTCTTCCAATCTTATCAACTGTTTATAAAATTTCAGCTCCTCCAATAAAATCTTCCTGGCTCCTTTTCTTTAGTCAGGAGACAGCACATCTACTTCCTATAATTGGAATACTTCCTCACAGTAGCTGCTCAATAAATATATAAATAAAGGAATGAGACTGTCTGTTGGGGTCTAAATGAGGATATAATGCTGTACAAGAGAAATGCCTTCTATCAAAATTCTGCTTCTATTGTCTTCTCACATTCAAACTTTTTTTAAATTGTAGAATGACTACACCAAGTCACTCATTTTTCATGAATTTTCAAATAAGCATATTATTGCACTAATGGAGTTACTCCCAAGTATATTGCTGGTACTAAGAATATTACTGGAGTAATCTCTGATAATTTGTTATCTTTTATAGACATACACGTTCTCTGAAACAAAGGCAGAAGTTAAAATAAGAGACAGGTGTAAACTGTTGCTTGTAGCCTCGACAGTCACCACCATGGTCTAGGCCTATTTACTTACTACAACCATGTCTTCATTCCACAGACTACACTGACCTGGGTTCTACTCCTTTGGTTCATCAACAACAAAGGTTTGTTGAAGGCTTACTTTGTGCAACCATCAATGCTAGAGTAGAAGTCAAATACTTCGCATGTATACTCTGCTTATCTGTGAGTGCACAGGACAGTGTGAGTACAGTGTGAGTACAGTATAAACAAGCAATATACAGTATCAGATTAAGTAATAAGGTCAAGAATGTCTGAAAGGAAGAGCCTAGACCAAGGAAATCAGTACAGATTTCATCACTAAATTCTAAGCTGTGCCAAGGAGGACAGACAGAATTCAAATTTTTAAAATCAAAACCTATACTGCATAAACTATGTTCTGGAGACTACTCCACCGTTTGCCTTTTTCACAGAGTGAATGAGGTGTCTGTCACTAACTGCATCAGGCATTCTAACTTACATGGAATAGTTCACATCCAACTGAAAACTGAGGGCAGTGAAGTGTATTAGGTGTAAAGCCTATGCTAAAACTGCAGCTCACAAACTTACTAGTTTTGTGGCCTTGGGCATATAAACTAATGTTTTTTAATTCTTTTTTTTYCGAATCTTTATTTATTTTTATGTGGTGCTGAGAATCAAACCCAGTGCCTCACATGCACGAGGCAGGCACTCTACCACTGATCTACAGTCCCAGCCCCATAACTTAAATTCTTTAAGTACATCTTTTTCACCTACAAAACACTGAGAGCATTTTATTTGCAGGATCAAAGACAATGAGTGTTAAAAGCTTAGCAAATTATGACATACAGGAAGTAATTAATAAATGGCAGCCATTATTAAATTTTATACACTTTGTAAGCTCTTTGAGGGTGGGAGCTACTTACATATTCACAGTTCATCTGCCAACACCCACTAGAGTCCCTTGTATCTACTGACTGTAAGGCAATCAACTAATAATTCTTCTGTGAATGTATTTTGAGTTAAATGTTTGAATCACAATTAAAGTTAAAACACCTTTCTTCCTGGCAACAAGAGCCACTGAACATTTCTGAAAACATAATAAAAGAAGGTGGAACCAGGACAACTTAGACACCTGGATTGGTCCAAGCTCTTAATGCAAGAGAGACAAGGAACAGATCGGATTCAATTCCCACATTTTAACAGGATACCACAAATTCATTCATCAGATCATAAAGGAGAAGAGGTTTCAGGCTAACATTCACTAGAACTAGATTTAATGCTAAAAAAAAAAGCACAAAGCCCGTGGGCTTTGCCCTTCACTGTCATTGACCTGAGCGGCAGAACTCTTCTGATATCTGCCAGCATTAACTGATGCTCGGGAAGCAGCGAAGACTCAGGGTTAGGAGAAAAGCTTTGGAGACAAACTGGGCTCAATTGCCTGGCGAGGTCGGGGGCACTCGACCTCCGAAGCCCTGATTATGCAGTAAGGGAAGGGACTTCTACCCCTTTCGGGGTGGCGTGGCCTCTAGGCGCTAACAATTCACACATTCGCGACGGTGACCCGGACGCGTGCTGACGGGATCTGCCCCGGCCTCCTTCCCGCGCGGTCGYTAGGTCCCAAGCAGGTTCTGCCAGTGCAGTCCACGCTGAGCTCGAGACTCGGTGCTGGCCGCGAGGGCCAGGCACCGACCGCCGAGGGCCAGGGAGGGGGCCACCCGCCGGCCTAAGCCACCCCGGCGGCGCCGCCCGGCACCGCGGCCCGGGCCCCAGCCCCGGCCTCCGCGGACCTGCTGCGCGAGGAGCTGCCGCCGCAACTTCTGTCGCTCCCGGATCTCCTGCAGGCGACTGTCCATGTCCCCGCGGTTCACAGCACCCGGCCACGGTCTCTCCCGAAAACAAGGCCCCGCCCCGCAGGCCTCCCCAGATCGCGGGACCCGACGTTCGCCAGGAGCTCCGCTCCACCAGGTCCCCGCGTTCTCCACTCAGGACCGACTTCCGGTAGGGCCCGCACGGGCTCAGTCCTGCCGGAAGTCCCGCCTCCAGGACGCCGCGATTGGACCCTTCCTCCCTGAGGGACGCCGCGCTCCGGAAGTCGCTGAGAGCCGCGAGCGGTGCGCTCGCCGACTGCCGGGCGCCATCCTCATTTGGCCTGGTTCGGCGGCTTTGAGCTGCGGGTACCTGATGGGTTAATTGGCGTTTCCCACCGCGCACACTCAAGTCTCTCGGGGTGGAGGGCGTACTAGCTCCAGCAGCCCGCGCGGCGAGCCCTCCAGCTCCGCCTCCTCTCCTGGAGCCGCAGGGTCAGGCCTGCAGAGGGGAGAAGGGAACCRAGAGGCAGCCCGCGGTGCACAGACGGAAACCCGTTAGGTACTCTTCAGCTGCGATGAGAAGCAGCTTCAAGCGAAAGGCCTGGAAAATTGCTGGACACGCAGCAACACGCACTTACCGGCCTGTTGACCGTGTATGCTAAAGGTTTCTTCCAGAGATTTGTTTAGGAAGTAGAGACACAAAAGGGAGGATCAGGCCGTCTCCAGAGTGAGTGCCCCTCCTGGAGTTGGGCTCCAGTGTTAGAGGGGCGGTGGTCGGGCCGACGGGAGGTGGAGCCACGGGGACTGGGGCATCTCTGTTCYAGGAGGGTTGGGCCAAGGCCTCCGGAGGGCTGTCTGCATCGCAGTGGCTCAGGGCGGTATATCATCTCTTTACCCGAATCGCCGTCTCATCRTCCTCACAAAGGTTTGGTGAAGGGTGAAGATTTGACTTCTGTGGCTGCTTCAGGGTGGCCGGGGGCAATGACCTTGCCCGTCGGGAGTAGTCGTCTCAACCTGCCTGACCTACAGGAGATGGCTGTGGGAATGGGTKGGAATTCTGACACTGCCACACTTTTTCACATGAAATTGTAATCCAGAAGAGACAAAAAGGCCACCAAGAGATGTCATGGGAGAAAAGATGTCTCCAGAGAAGGGTCTGCGGCATCCCCAGAGGAGCTGGGGAATTCCACTGGGGGAGCGGGAGTTGGTCTTAGCCTAGGTGATAGAAAGAACCTCAGTGGGCACCACATGAAGGCATCGCATCGGCAGAGGTCTATTTAGGAAGTAGACACTCATTCAAGGGAAAAACGGGGGGGGGCGCTAAAGTGCTTTTGTTTGGGGAGAAGTACCAGGGATTGAACCCAGAGGCACTTAACCACTGAGCCACATCACCAACACTTTTTACTTTTAATTCAGAGACCGAGTCTCACTGAATTGCTTAGGGCCTAAGTAGCTCAGGCTGGTCTCAAATATGCATTCTTCCTGCCTCATCCTCCGATCCACTGGAGTTGCAGGCATGCAGTACTACACTCATCTTTAAAGTGTTTCTTTACAAATAAGTTCTTAGTACCTGCCAGTTGTTTAAGTTGGATACTGATTTGAAGTATTTATCAATGCTGGAAATACGCATTTATTCAGATATTTATTGATACTGAGCACTTTACACAAACCCTAGAGAATATGAAATCTATTGAAGATTAAAGACCATATAGCTCACTCTCTCTTTATAGTGTTTATAGTCTCATGGAGAACCATGCCTGAGATGCTGCGTGGGCTACTCACTTGTGGGCTGTGCCCCATGGTCACCTACATCCTGCTGAGATGGTGGTTAGGCCAGGAGTYTCCAAACTGCATTTTGCAGCCATCCTGTCATTTGGCCTCCAGGAAGCCTCTTCCCAGAGAACACAGGAACTCAGAAGGCAGAACAGAGGAAAGCTATAGTTGCTCATTCCTCTTATGCTTCTGGAATCCAGGGAAATGGCTCTCTCCCTCACAGAATCCAGAGCCAGTTAGAACAGCCTCTGTCCTTCCTTGTTTGCACCCCAGCAATACATGTTTGAGCCCTGATAATACAACCCAGCCACCAGCACTAGGATTGGTAACTACTCCCCATGAAAGAGTTTCCCTTGTAATCACACCTTCCGTTTTGGCTCTTGGACACCTGTGTAAATATTCCCGCCCCCAGATGATGTCTGTTAAAGTACTTTGAATCATTTGTTTCCCTGTCTGGGTCCTGGACTGAAAAGATGCTGATAGTGGTAACTTAGGGGGTTTACAAAGCTATCAGAGTCCATCAGAGGGTTATTGCAACTTTTACAGAAGGGGATGTAACTCCTAACCAACAGATTAAAACACTCAGCCCATATCTGGTTCAAATGGATGAATAACACTTGGCATTTTATACAACACCCTGCTGCCCTGGGTAGCCTCTTTCTGTTCTCCTTTGTGTGCCAAATCTTATACACACATTCAAGTTCCCTCTCAAACATACCTTTTTTCTTGTACTTTTTATGAGTTGAAAATTGGGTAAGAGAAAATTCTTCTAGAAAAAAGAGGGTCGTTTATGTTTTGAATCTGGAACATCCCCCAAAAGCTTGTGTGTTGGGGCTGGGGATGTGGCTCAGCGGTAGAGTGCTCGCCTAGCATGTGCGAGGCCCTGGGTTCGATCCTCAGCACCATATAAAAAATAAATAAGTAAATAAAGGTATTGTGTCAACCACAACTAAAAAATATAAAAATAAAAAAGCTTSTGTGTTGAAAACTTGGTACTAAACAATGATTGATCATGGGATCTTTTCCACTCAGCGGGGCTCAGAGCTATTCGGTGGTCAACTGTACCAGTGGCCTGTTTACTTCATGCACGGTGTGGCTTTGCCCTAGTTCACTTAACTATCCACCTGAGGAGGGGTGTATTGTAATGTTATGAGCAACACTTCTGTTACCCTGCATGTGCAGGTTTCCGTGCTGTCTCTGTTCTCTAGAGTGATGGATGGAGAGCAAGTGCTTGGCTGCAAAGAAACCTGGAATAGGCAGCTCAGGTTGAACGGGGTTGAGACATCCAGAGGAGCAYACTTCTTTCTCTTCTGCTGTGCTGTTTCCTTGTTGATATAACCTTTTGGTTCCTGGTGGCTGCCAGAGCTCCAGTCATTGCACTTCATTCTAACCAGCAAGAAGAAGGAAAAAGAGAGGACAGAAGATGGTCCTTCCCTTTAAGGACCTGTCTTTTCCCAATGGGTGGAGAAGTGATAGAAGACAACTGTGATTGTGATTCCTTTTTCTACCATTCATGCATTGCAGGTGCAGTCAGGTCCTGTCAACCTTCTCTCCCTCTTCCTCCTTTTCTTCCTTCCTCCCAACACCAACCTATTTTGTATTCACTCTAAGAAATTTTAAAGGGTTCAGAAATGTAAACATACTTACATCTTCCTTAGTTAATGGTTGGTATGCTTTCCTCTATTTTCCTGTGGATTTTTTGATGTGTGTTTAGTTACCATGACGTACTCCCTTTAGATGCACAGGTCTATGTTTGGCAAACATAACTTCTGTGCAGCTGTTGCCACTGCCCCGGTGTGGAGCACGGGCCTGCCCAGGCCTGGTCCTGTGCTGGGCTGTGCTCCTCTCCCACTGTCTCCTGTCTTCTTGTCCTCTGCATGGTCTTTCACAAAGTGAGAGTCAGGAGAGGATGGCTTCAAGCTAGTCCGAACAGGTCTCTGCAGTTAGACTCTTGCCCTGTGGAAGGCTGCAACGGGAGCTTACCTCTCCACAATGGAAAACAATTTCTATTTATTCCAAGTGCTGCATGATTTCTATGTTTATGCTGGTGTGGAACAGTACATTAGTTACTTGCTTCTTTTAAAAGATTTTGTACCATCAAGGAAGGTCATTCTTAGAAAACTAGAGGAATTACATTGCAATTGTCAAAATAATGATATTGTGCTGCATTTAAATCCAAAGGTAAATTTAGAATTTAGCTAAGCTGAAAAAATTGTCTCAAATCAATTGTGTTTTTAGAACATGACTCAGATCTCTCAGGATAGCCTCACAACTTCTTGGGGAATCAGTGAAGGATAACCTAGACATCAATATGCCAAGCTTCCAAGCATGCACAGATTTTATAGATTACATAGAGGGAGCGTTGTGTGTGTATGGTGGTATAAACAGGCATTGCAGACACAGTCCTTATTTTTAAGTGAAAACTTCCTGATATTACTGGTTTCCTTTACTGAGACTCTATGGAATGCAATGACAAAAAAAAAAAAAAAAACTGGAACTGGAGAAAAGATGGTTAACTTACCCAAGATGTAACTGATTCCTAAGGAACACTCTCCATGTTCCTCAAAGAAACCGGCTCACAGAGTACAGTTTGGTAAGAGTCACCRTGCAGTTTTTAGGAGGATTAAAAAAGTCACAAGAGCCTTAGTATAGCTAGCAATAATATTCTATTAGTATTCAGTAAAATAAAAAAATTTATTTCATTCGTAAAATAGGCTTTTCTGGGGTCATCAAAATTGACTAGCTTTTTGGACTTAGATTGAGTCGTCTAGCCAGTTCCTATCACAGCTTCTCCAACTGCAATTTAAAGGGAATGAAATAATTCAGATTCTCAACACTTTGGTGAGGATTCTATTACTCCCTTTGTAATGGAGGATCTCAAAGATCTCAATCTGTGTCTGTCTGGATTGTAAAAATCATTTACAATATTGCAAATTAAAATTGAGAAAAACTAGGATTTACTAGCCAGGTGTGGTGGTGCACACTTGTAATCCTAGTAGCTTGGGAGGCTGAATTAGGAGGGCTGCATAACAAAGACCAGCCTGGGAAGCTGGACCATCACAGGGTGATCTGTGTGCCATTCGCACCTGGGCTCACACTGTGCACAGGTCCTGAAGGAGGCTCCATGAGAAACACTGTAGAGCTTGTCAAAGTGTTCCTAATAATGTTATTTACATGTGTATTTTTTG